ATTCCTCTTTTACGTTTCTGTGTTTTTCTTGTTCGAGAAAGAAAGTGCTCCGTGGGCTGTGGCTCAAGCTGCATCTTTCATGTTCCTGCAGAAGCAGCTTATTGATCTCAATGTGAGTGTCCTGGATAGTCAAGGCTGCCTTTTCATCAAAACAAAATGCAGCAACAATTTGTTTCAGTTATTCTATTCATTTTATAAAATATCAAAACATTAAATGCATAATAGCCTTAAAAAGAAAATTCCACATGGAAGTCTAAGATAATGTTTGTTGTTTTATTCATTTAACATACTGTTTCCATTTTCAGATAATAACATGTGTTCATTTTCTGCACTAATTCTATGATTAACGTTATGGGTTTTGGCTCACTGTACCTTACAATTTTACAAATTCTGGCTTATCTGGAAATAAAGATATTCTTAAATGAGACAGGAAGTGCTTTGAACAGGTCTCAATAAAAATGTAGGTTGGGGATCACATTATGTGAAGGATGCTTGCACCCATATGCACTTGCCTAAGCACTAAGATCAGGACATTAACATTCGGACAATCTAGTTAGAACTGTGAGAATTGTAGAGATTCTAGACATATGGACCTTTCCAAACAGCCCCATTCAGAGCGACAAATAGAGAATGATTGTTAGTGGCTGCAGATGAGCTCTGAAAATGTTTTATTCCCCAAACCACAATTCAATAATGCCTATATTAGAACTAGGCCAAATTTCCAATCAACCAAATTTCTATATGATTGCCAGGAATAGCAAATGACTTGATGCCTAAGAATCAAACTTCCAACAGTGAAAAATCCTGGAAGTTTGCTCATTATCCCACCATTTCAGCCAGCTTTAACAAAGGTGTCCTATAATTTGATTTTGCAGGTTTTGGAGATTCACGGTTATCTTTGATCATTCTTTCTGTTCACATGAGATGAATTTGCTTGGCTAGAATTTAAGTATGCTTAATTTTATAATCCTGAATTACATTTTATAGAATGTGTTCCTCTTTATAGTCTTATTGCATATTTTTATTTTCATATAGACAATAAATACATGCATGATGTTTAATATCTATTCAGAATGTTCTGTAAACATTCTTCAAGGACAACCCACTAACTTCAGACTTTAGAGTTGTAGTAGAGACAATTCAGGGGCCTCAGTCATGGTCAATCAATCATGTACTTTAGGATAAAATTGATGCTACATTTAAATTATATTAATGTTTTCCCCAAATGTGATATCCAAAAACAAAGACAGCACAAAAAGACAATCAATGCCAGTGCAGACTGTTTCTACTAAATACTAACTCCTAACTAATCCACTGTATGGTAGTTTGCAACCCTCTGTAGTTAACAAACTATTTTTTTCAAAGAATAGGATAATGTTCAGAGAAGATTTTTATAAAGAGGCCACTAAACTGTTAACAGTGCTTTGAAAATCGGAAAAGCTGTTTGAATGTACAATTTACAATTTACAGAAATCAATTAAATTCACAAAGCAATAATCACCTGAATGCTGTATAAGAGCCGTGTTAAATTCTGGATAGTCTGCACAACCTAAGGAAGAAAGTAAACATTGAGGATGAGATAGGAATTACAAAACATAATAAACTTAGAGTAGGGAATATTAATAGATCACTGTAAGAGAACCATCTTACCTCAGTTTGGGCAGAAGCAGAAAAGCAGGCATTTTCTTCCTACAAACATATAATTACATTAGACTATTTGTGGCACTGTACTGCCATCTTCTGGTCTGCCTAGGAAATTATTTTAAACTTTTGCAAATTATGATGTAGTACAGGGGTGTCAAACTGCCCACCCAAGGGCCAGACGCATCACCGGGAAACCCCATTGCTCCGATACATTGCACGATATCATGTGACATCGCGAGTTTGACATGTCTGGTGTAGTAGGTCATGCTCTTGATATTAAGCAGCTATTTAATGGCAGCTTTGAGGGGGGGAAAGGCATAAAGTCTAGATAAAGTGAAAGTACAGACAAAAACAGAGAATAGGAAAAAGATTAAATTCAATGCCTAGATAATGCCATGCAATGTGCATATGAATGTACAATACCTGGTCTAGTATATCCATTTCTGCTACACTGTTTTCATTGTGCGTATCAGAATTACAAGTTTCTTTCTCTACCTTCAGTTCTGTACCTAGAGATTAATGCCAACAGGAAAAATAAGACTTAGAATTGAACATTTAAATGCATGTCTCTTTTAATTATTTTGGATTCGATATATTATTTCTAGCATTCCACTCACTTAGCTTTGTTTTTTTCCCTTTTGCTTACTTAGCTTTCTTCCTCTCTCTTGTTCTTTTTTCTTGTTCTTTTTCGACCCTTTATTTCCTGACCTCTTCCCCATGTCTAATTTCTGACAGAACTTTTATTTTAACTGGTACTGGAGAACCATTAACCAATCATCAGTGTAGTTTTGTGGAAAGTCTAAGTTTTGAAGACCTACTTCACCTTGTTTTCAAAAATTTTAAAGTTAGTGCTTCCATTCTCCATTCCATGCTAAAAATCAAACAAATTATACCTTTGTTCTACTTTTTTTCCAATGGAGTATTGCTATAATATAGAAGTGTCCTTTTTGTTACAGAAAAATAATTGCAATATCACACTATCAATACAACAAATACGTTTAAGATTTCAAGGAGAGATTAATTTTTTTTCAAGCTATCTCCAAGCATATGAGTAAACATGGCATATAAGCCATTCAATCATTATCACAGATTAATAGATCTCCATTTTTGCAATAATAATGTATTGAGTTGATGGCCAGTTCACAGTTTATAGGGCTTCATATTAGCATTTACTTGATTGAAACATTTATGTCAGGAATGCGAGTACCAGTGACGTATCTAATTTTTCTAGGAAATATCTTCATATTTTATATTTTTGTATTTTGAAACAATCATGGTAAATATATCTAAGCAGTGGACGATTAAAAATATTAGTTCTTACTAACAATCAGTGAAAGGTTCACAGACTTCAGTTTCACTAAGACTTGTCAAACATGAGTCACCAACACTCTCTTCCTTTGAGTGCAATAATGCCACTGTTGTATGAAGGTTTTCAGCTGCAACAAAAGCAAATATTTAGATGTTTATTGTGTCTACAAAGTAAACAATAACTTTTATATCACTTATAACAAAAGAGTAGAAAGAAGGCGAATGAGATTTTTATTGTGGTCAATGATCAGATTAACCAATTAGATACATTATATAGATTATATATAATATGTCAAAATTTAGCTACACTTAAGGAAATAAAATTGTTTGAATCTGGAAGTAAAAAAATAATGACGCAAAACTGATCAGACTGACCAGGATATTTAATTAGTGGGGTTAACAGCTCAGAGCAAGTGTCAACGTAAAATGGACAGTATAATAAAACATATTCAGTGGGTACAATTACTACTTCACTGCATGAGTCAAATCTAAATGTAAATGGGATGCCTCTGTATCTCCTAAGACCAATAATGGAAGTATGTTTAATTGTGCCAAGGTGTCTTCTTAGTTTGGGCATAGCAATTTGGTTCAGCTATCTAGTTGGCCTAAAAGGGTCCAATCTAAGTCGTTCATCAGGACCAGAATTTTAGTCTTTCAGGCACATGCTGGAACCCATGCTCAGGGAACTTCTCTCTCTCTCCAGAATGTGTGCGCTCAGCTGTTCTATGCATAATATTTATGTGGTGCCTGCTGGTGTGTGACTTTTAGTTGTTCACTGGGGTGTTGATGGCCGGCTATTAAGTTGTTTATTTATTTATTTATTACTTTAATTTATACCCCGCCCTTCTCCCGAGGGACTCAGGGCGGCTTACAGGTAAATAAAAACAGTACTATACAATAAATATCTAAAAGCCAAATTAAAATATATATTAAATGACCTGTATTAGATTTAAAATTATAAAATCCCTTTAAAATCCCTATAAAATCCCCCCCTAGGCCAATCCC